TGCATGATATCCACAAGCTCGCCTTTTGGGTGAAATATTTTGATGCGATAGAAAGATGACCATTGTCCGCAATAATAAAACAAGTAAATGAGTAAATTATCAAATAAGTAAACTATGGGCTCTATGCACGGCGTTATTTCCGGTGAAGGATTAAGGATGCTCGATAACTTCCACCGATCATAGAGTCCAATGCAATACCGAGAATTTATATTGAATTTTATACTCCATGGTTATACTAATGAAACGTTAGTCACAAAAACAGATAAAACAGACACCCCTCGTTGTGTTTATGCTTCTTTTTAAAATTATATTAAATAAACATAACTATATATAAAATTACATCTAAACGTATGTACGTTTCGTTTCAAAGACGGGAGGACAGTAAATATTGAAGAATCTGCCATAATCCCGTTTTCTCCGGTTTTCCTCCGCTTTAATCTACACAACCGGAAATGGACGAGCATCCTTACGTCAATGCGGAACTTATGCGTGCATATAGCCCATTGCACCCCGGTTGAACAAACCATTTTCAGACTCAAATAAGGGGATGTGCAATGTATAATATTATAAGAATTTAAGTTTTTTTTTTTTGTTTTTTTTATACATGTAAACCTATTGTAGGAGAGCTCAACACCTTTTTTTATTAAAAAAATAATCTTTGTATTTATCAAAATACTCAAGGTATTTAGTACTGAAAAAGTATTTTACTCCATGTTATTTTAAGACTTATTCTAGGTTTGGAAAAGTTTTATTCAGCCTGTTCCGTTAAAACGTCTTTTATTTTCTCTGTTTTTGTCACAGCTTTTTTCTTCGGGTACCGTCCAGCTAACTACCACCTCGCGTGCCGAATTTGGGAACTTTGACATTAAAACGGTTATCCAGGAAATCAAAAGAGGAAAAAGAATGGTGAAATTTTCTAAATTTAATTCAATATAGAATTTCTAAACTATGTTGCTAACATATAAGAATGTGAACTAAATATAGGTTTACACCATGGTCAGTAGAAAATGTCTATTTTTTTTGTATGATTTTGTTATTATATTATTTCAAAGTCACCTAATGTATTTTTGGTCATTTCAGAAATGCACACTTTGTGCCCAGCTTGGAGCCACCATTGGATGTGAGATAAAAGCCTGCGTGAAAACCTACCATTATCACTGTGGCCTGGAAGACAAGGCCAAATACATAGAGAATATGGCTAGAGGCATTTACAAGTATGTTTTAACTATTGTCTGCTTGTTTTCCTTATTATACAAATATAAATATCCTGGTAAGATAATTATGTTGGTTCTGGAACATTACATGTGACTGAAAGAAACCAATGGTTCTGAAACCATCAGGACTGTGAACAAGGGCTGGGTGATTCTGACAAAAAAAATTAAATCGTATCTCTGTATTTTTTTTAGTTGAATGGCCATTTTCAATACACTATATCTTCTACTTTTGTTCCTTTTTGGTTTAAAAAAAAATTATATATATATATATATATATATATATATATATATTCATTAAAAAAAAAAATGCACATCCTGCCCAATGTTGTCCTACAAACAATATTCATATTGAAGGCTATGAAAACAAATCTAGTAAATGTAACCATGTAGGCTATGCCATATATATTATGTGCCAAAAATGGTTTAAAATACAATATATTCTAACATGTAACAACATTAATCTTAAAACAAAAGAATGCCTTTTAAAGCAGAAGTTAAAATGAAAATAAAATCAAAAGCACAGACTAAATGTTAACTGGTAAAAACACGCATTCAACGCTCATCTGAGCTTAGTAATTATATTAGCCCAGATTTGATTACCCCATGACAGTAGTCAGTCACAGTACTGCTATCACAAAAATAAACTTGTAGGTTTAAAATTCTACCAATGGCACATTTAATGTCCAACAACAAATATTTTGGCTAAATGTATATTTTAGTCAGAATTATTGTGCACTCCATCTGTTTCACTGAAGTCTGTGAAGTTTAGCAGAGACTTGCTTGCATAACACCAGTCCAATTCTCATTTACAGATGTTAGGAGAATATGCATGTGAAATGTAAGTTATGCACTGAGGAAAACACCACATCTCAAACGCAATAATCAGGATAGGTGTCTGTCAGAGCATCAAGCTGATTTAAACTATCCGTGTTAACTCTAGTTAATTTAAAGCCCTTGATATTGCATGTCTCGTGTTTGGGACTAATTGGATTATGCACTTTCCCCACAGCAGCTCAATCTGTCGTCTATATTTTTTTTTCAAATATCAAACTACTGTATGTCGATATAAACTGAATTGCCTCTGTCTATATAATTTATTTAAAATCTATCACTACAGCACCCAGCCCTACAGTGATCAGGTGTGCCATTGTATTGCATTATAACAGGAACTTTTGTTGTTTTCACCAGGCTTTATTGTAAGAATCACAGTGGAAATGAGGAAAGGGATGAGGAAGATGAAGAGAGGGAGAGTCGCAGTAGAGAGAAAGCTGCTATTGACAACAGAGCGGATCCTCCATCGCAGGTTAATGGCAACTAGGTGAGACTCTGATGTTCTTGTTACAGTGTGATTTGTTCAGTCTGTCATGGCAGAATTTGTGTTTGATAATTATTCAGGACTGGCAATGTAGTATTTTAAAGTCATAGAACATGTGACAAAGATTGAAGTACTGTCTTTTTTCAGGAGGTGAATGAAGATTGAAGACATGATACGATGGGGGATAAAAGAAATATTTTTGTATAATGCTCAATTAGAAACTAGGGGCCAGCTCACAATAGTTTTCGTCTCTTTGACAGTATTTCATGGACATTGAGAATGTAAGTTCAATATCAAATGATATCGATATGTTACCGCAGTGTAAACCATAACTTAGCTGGATAGGTTTTATTTAAACATGGTATATTAATGCTTAAAACCATATGATTGGATGGCTGGAACAGTGTCATCTGTTTGTGCTTGCACCTCCAGTTTCCTCTTTGGCAAACTCTTTGGACCCACTCTGAAAACGACTGCCCCCGTCGACTGTTTTTAGTGCATCTCCTCCAAACCATGACATTTAATAAGCCTTTCAAAAGTAATTCTCCTTCATGAAACTGTCTTTACCTCTTATTTCTCTCTTGCAACATGTATTATATTTTATTACTGTATTATACTCATGAGTAATATTGGATATCTGTGGTTTCTTTATAGTATAGGACATGATTAAAGATCATTGGCTAGCATGCACTTTTCTTTACTCTGTCTCACGTGGTGGTCTTTTTTTTTTTCTTTATATGCACATATTCCAAATGTATCTCTAAATAAGTAGGCACTGTGTGCATAGTGTTTTCTGTTGTCCATTTGGTGGCAGCAATTCAAAATAAGAGTCCTTCTGAAAGGCAGATGCTTTCAAACTCACTTCAGGATATTGTTTGGAGTTTGAAATGTGAATCCTGACAATTAAATGTTTATACTTTTATTTAAAGGGACAATGTGTAGGAATTTCTCCCATCTTGCGGTGAAAATTGTATTTTGCATTCAAACAAATTGTGCTCTCCATCGCCTCACTTTTTCAAATGCACTTTGCATCTACAGCAGCCATTATGTACCAAAAAGCTATGACAGGATGTCTTCTAATAGCTCTTCATCGAGTGTTCCTTCCGGTAAACAGGTTTGTTATTTCAAACAAACAGTAACTTGACACAACGAACAAACGAATGTTACAGTATGAATTACTGACTGTGAAAAACATGAACTATTGTAATAAGTAGTTAAGCCTTCTTTATATTTTATATTTTCTGAAGTACGTGCATTGTTAGATATCATCATCATCATCAATTTTGAACAATAAATGTTCATCTGTGTATAAAATAAAGTATACAACCAAACAACAAAAAAAAAGCTTGTAATTAAGACTATAACATTGACTTACCTGTTGAGAAGAAAGCAGGCAACTTCAGCGGACAGTACTAGCAGTACAGCTCTAGCACTTTTTGTCCCTCTTTGCTATTATAGTTTTTCAAGAGATGGCGGAACGACATGGAAGCCTCCGTGGACCTACCTGTCCATTGTATATAAAGATAATAAATTCTTCGTTTACTAGGATAAGTCAGATAATTGGCAGAGGTATTTGTTCACCATTGAGGACATATTTATGAATAAAATATTGATTTTAAATAATAAGATGCATAAAGTACACATTGTCCCTTTATTTACTAAAAAACACAATATGATCATTTATTTTTAAGTGCTTTAATGAGTTGGATTTCTTTTAAGGATGCAGTAGTCACACTTCTTACTCCAGTCTCTGTGGCCTGGTAAACCCTACACTACAGAGAAATGTCCCAAAAAAGATAACACTTTTTTTTTTGGTCTCCTTGAGGAAAAGAGCTGAATCATACAGTACTGTGTAATGTTAATTTACATGTATTAACTATAGGGTTAGGATTAGGGTTTGGATTATAATTAGTAATTAGTTACTGGTTTACAGTTAATTAGTACTGGTTAATGTAATTATACTTGCCTCTTTTTTTTTTTTTTTTTTTGGTCACACATAGCTACACTTTTGACGCACTAACACTATTAAATTAACCATCCCGTGTTAGGCAGCCTATGCGAATGAATTATCCAGGTATTATATATATATATATATATATATATATATATATATATATATGTATATATATATATATATATATATATATATATATATATATATATATATATATATATATATATACACCTGGATAATAAATTAATAAATAAACATTAAAATAGTTGTAAACATCCCACCCTGCAAAAATATTAATGTTTATTTTATTTATATTCGACCAGTTAAATTAACTAATTTCTTGGCGAAATACCATCGCCCAGAAATTAGTTTTTGCGAGGTGGGATGTTTACAACTATGTTAATGTTTGCTTTATTTTCCAGGTATTCATTTTGACACACTGAAGTAATTTAGTGAGTCTGTCACTTTAAGGTGTTCTGTATTCTCACTGCTGAACGCTGATTGGTCGACGGGCTATATTCCCCCTTTAATGTTAAAACACCCACAGTGTGCGGAAGATAGAAATTGTGTTTGTTCAGTCCTTTAAAGGCGAAATTGTGAATAGGAAGGGACATTACTCCCGGCATTTCTAATCGGAATCTAGGACGTTTACTAGTACTCAGTCGGGACGGACATGGCGTCTGCCAACTCCTCTATCGTGGTAAGTGTTACTGTTAGTGTAAACAAGTGTCTTCAATCATTTACACCAGCGCAACACTTGATTTGTCACAGTAACGTTACACAAGTAAATAATTCAGAAGTGTTTTGGCGATAAAAATATTTTGGTCCTAAATCCCTTTTAATCCTAGAAATGATCCTGATTGCATACACAAGTATTTAGTGATTTGATTTATAAATATTTGCGTGAGGTCTAGCCTTAGGGGCCTGGGAGGAAAGCACGCGTTTCACGCATGGCACATGATGCAGCCATACAGGATGCAGGCATTTCTGGACGTATGACCAGTAGCTAATGAGCGGGGATTTCGTGCGATAAAAAGGCTCCATGTGCACGGGTGTATTTTGGTTTCAGGGTTTATCAGAAGCCTTGATAATATGATGAAATCTGTTAATGGACGAGTGCAAAGTTTGCCCGTTCAGGTCGTAAAGCGCACAATTAGTTTTATTTTGGATGTTTGTTTGTAATAAATTGATCAATGTAACGCTTTCAGAGCCATACCAACTAAGGTCCGGACCTCATTATTTTTTCCCATGTTTATGTAAGAAAGGTTGTGAAATAAATGCCTAATTAACTCTGCTTTGATGTGAGAGTGTTATTTCCTGTCGCAGCTCAAAGGAGCCTGTATGAATATTGAAATGTCTCTGATTGGAACAGCAGAAATGCAGCCGTTACCCCGGTAACTCAGTAAACAAAGCAGCTGTGCTACTTTCTTTAATTTTCTGAACAAGTAAATATTTCAAACAGCCATTCAGATATTTGTATTCGCCTCTGTTCATTACAACACCACATACTTGAATAATAGGCTACCTAAAGACTTAATAGATTATTTCTTTTTACACATTTGTTTACAATTAAAGCTGCAGTACATAGCTTTTTTTTTTTTAAATGATTCAAAATACATATTTGTTAAAATACATAACCAGCCAGAGTTCAAAACTAGGTATCTGCTTGCCTTAGCTCGAATCAAAGCGGTAAGCTTCTAATAATAATGTGGTTAACTCTAGCGGTACTGGTGGATTTCCGCGGGAGATTCAAGCATGTTTTTGCGTCATTACATCACATCTGTACACATAAAGAAGGAGTAGAGTCCGGCTAGTATTGCATGTGAGGATGTTGGAGGTGGAGATTTATAGCCTTTTCTCACAGCATACAATTAAACTTATCAATTTGATGGCGGATCCAAAAAGGTTCAAACGACAATCGACAAGACTGCTGCAACCAGACATATGTGAAAACAAGGATAGATTTCGGACGGACGTCACATTACATGTAATGCCACGCAATGCTGACGTTGTTAACATTAACGATTTGAGAACAAAGTATAATTTGCACGGTTTTGCGTGATATGATAACTTAAGCCATTGTTAGATTTAATCAGCGCAATTTACTGCAATGTCAGAACCAGAACAAAAGTGGATGTTTCTTACTAATTCAGATGACATTTTCCGGTGAAAATTCTTATGTTGGTCATATTTCCAAAGGTAATAATCTGTGATTCTGAATGCCAATATCCACACTGGCGCTGTGATTCACAGCTACACACTCTCCTCAAACATTGTGTTCATCCGCGCTGTGCCGTGTCGAGGGTGTTGAAGTACAACTCGCGTAAAGTTGATAATTCCGCGAATGACTGCAATTGCAGATTTTGAACAGAGATGGCGACAAAAAGGAGAAATGCAGGACTCCAGCTTTAAACATTTTTTACTTCTGGACTAAACCAAGTCCCTGATATTGATTTGAAAATGTCTAACATTATCTACTGAGACCTTATTGTAAAGTGTTACTAATTGGTCCTGTTAGGAAGACTGTTACTAATTGCCCCTGAAACCCCCTAGCAAACTCAATGTTGCAACCTCTATAATTATAAGCCCATGTGTACGGCCCTTTGGTCTTGTCCCAGATAGCAAACTGACATTGAATCAACGTGGAAATATGACATCGAAACAACGTTGATCTGACATTGTTTTGCTCATCGAATTAACGTTGAACCAACGTCAGACGCGTCATTCTTTCAAAACTAACGGAAAATCAACATAAAATCAACGCGTTGTTTCAACGTTATGAAAGCAAACCAATTTTCGATTTTATTTAGCTTTGAAGAATGCCGCGTCTGACGTTGGTTCAACGTTAATTCGATGAGCAAATCAACGTTGTTTCAATGTCATGAGAGACGTCGTTTCCACGTTAATTCAATGTCAGTTTGCTGTCTGGGGTGTGTGCAGTGTGCTGATTTGTGACGTAGTGTGCTAATAGGAATGACTCGTGAATTAATCATCCTCTTCCTCTACCCTAAATTAAGATATTATCTTGAGAATATAATTTTAGACACCCATCCTGTGCTTTGTGATAGGATTTTAGTCTGTTATTTCCATGCAATGACATTGAATGGCTTTGGCGAATGAAGGTGTCAAGGCTAAAAAAGGATGCACCATCACCACAAAGTTTAATTGAGAAAATTGTCTCAATATTCTGATAGAGCTGAGGAAAGACATGTGACATGCATGTGAGTCTAAAGCATGGAATTTTACTGGTGTGAAATATGGCTCACTAGATCTGACAGCACACCGACTTACATAACGTGCGCTCCTGCAGCAGCATGAGAAACTAAACCTTGCCTTGCAGCCAATGCATACTAGGCTTTAAAATCCATGTCTTATCTACTATTGATGTGGATTGTGCTTTGGGTTTTAAATCTCAAGGTACTGGCACCAGCAGTAAGCATGGGGTAAGCTCCCAGAGGAGCTTCTGCTGACAAACGCACATTGTTTGCCTGAATCTCCTTCAAGGACAGTGTGATAACTCTTATTGGAAAAACAAACAAAGAACAGTTCATTGTTTTACACATTATACATGTACCATCTGCTGTTTTGAAAGATTTCCAGTCAAGGTTCTTCTCAGGTCCCCCGGCAGGGCAGGTTATACTTTTTCAGTAATTGGAAAAAGCAAAAAGTAAAAAGCCGATTTTCTGATATTTAAAAGAATATCAGTAACCAGACCATTTCTGGTCTCATTGACTTCCATAGTAGGAAAAAAATATACTATGGAAGTCGATGAGACCAGAAACTGTCTGGTTACTGATATTCTTCTAAATATGAGAAAATCGGCTGAATGGATTTGAAAACGGTAAAACTCAACAGTTTAACTCTGAGGGAGTGGTAAAATGAGCCTATTTCCCCCCCAAAAAAGCCTATTTCCAAAAAAAGTGAGCCTATTTCCTCCAAAAGTGGAGTATCCCTTTAATATTTAAGTTAATAATTTTGTAAACTGCATCTTCACACACACAATTGAACACACTAGAGTTAAAATTACATGTGCTTTTGTATGTTAGTGAACATTGAAAATAAGTGTATTTAAGAGTTTATAAAATGTATTGACTATTAAGTTTAGTCTAAGAACGTCAAGGTAATGCTTTTTTTACAGTCTTGTTACCCATGTACATACTATGTACTTATTATAGTAATTACAATTACTGGGTAATAACTAGGTAGGTACTAACCCTGAACCTACCCCTAGCCCATGTACTTACCTTATATCAGCCAGTATTTTGTAAGTAAGTATACTGTAAGTACACATAAGTACTGTACTGTAAAAGGAAGCATTACCAACATCACTTGGTTATCTGCTTAAACTCAGATAATATATGCGCTTATTTTAAAGTCATTCTGGTGAGAACAATCTCAAATGTTACAGACAAATGTCATGTTATCGCCAGATGTCTTGAGACCAGGAGAGTTGGGCAATGGGGATATAAGGTTGATGATCACCTTTCACCTACTAACCTATTTAAGGTTTATCCTGCTATCTGCTAGATAAAAATGTTATCTGTCAAACAGACTGCTCATTGTCCTTTGTCCGGCTATTGTGTATTTTAGATCAGCGATGAAGAGCAAGGTTATGACCTGGACCTCTTCTGTATACCAAAACATTATGCTTCTGACCTGGAGCGAGTGTATATTCCACATGGACTCATCATGGACAGGTACGACTCACGAGGCACATCAAAACTAAGTTACTTTTTAGCCAAGAAGTCTTGCCTAATGAACAAATAATATGCAACCTGAAGACTGTTGACATTGCATGTTGGCGGAGCTGACTAGTCACTCTGGACTCCTACAGAACTGAACGTCTGGCCAGAGATATCTTGAAGGACATGGGTGGCCACCATATCGTTGCTCTGTGTGTGCTCAAAGGGGGCTACAAGTTTTTTGCTGACCTCCTAGATTACATCAAAGCCCTCAATCGCAACAGCGATCGTTCCATTCCGATGACAGTGGACTTCATCCGACTCAAGAGTTACCAAGTACGGCTATGTAATGTAGATTCGACCAGGCCGGTCTGTTACATACTCCCTTTTGTTTGTTGACAACATAAATGAAATTTGACCCTCTGCAATACAAACATGTTTCAAAGTTGAGTGTTGGTGTTACTTTAGTAACTAGAACACACATACATGTCTTGAATGAACTCTGCTTTCCCCTTTTTCAAATATTACAGAATGACCAATCTACAGGTGACATCAAAGTAATTGGCGGCGATGATCTGTCCACACTCACAGGAAAGGCAAGCATCTTCCCGTCAATAAAAATAATCCTCATTATATCAAGATAATCGTTATTATAATGTCTAAAATATTATTCTGTGACATTTCTCTTTACCAGGAAAACATTTTTACCTCAGTTCGACTTTTTACCTCTGTCAACGTTTTATTTGTTACATTCCAAAATTAATTTCTGTGGTTACCGGCAGCATGCCATAGATGTCGTCCATAAAAGACATAAATACCTTTATTCAGCAAGGATGCATTAAATTGATCAAGTGACATTTATTATATTACAAAAGATGTTTCCTCAAAAATATTAAGCAGCAAAACTGTTTTAAACACTTATAATTATAAGAAATGTTTCTTGAGCACTAAATCTGCAGAAGGATCATGTGACACTGAAGACTGGAGTAATGATGCTGAAAATTCAGCTTTACCATAACAGGAATGACATTTTAAAACATATTTATATACATTTTGTTATTTTAAATTGTAATTATATTTCACAATATACTGTATTTTGATGAAAGAATTGCCGCCTTGGTTATCATAAGACACTTCTTTCAAAAACAAATTCTTACCGACCTGGTGGTGTTTGATATATGTATTTTTTTGTTTATAAATCACAGTCAGTGGGTGATGAAATACTGTTTTTGCAGTCTTAAACATCCAAATTAAAACTCTCTCTCCTTTTCTCTTGACATTCCTTTTGACACCAAAAGAACGTCTTGATTGTTGAGGTATTTGTGGATATTTTTTTTTTACATGTATATTTAAATAGCTCATATTATCTAGCAAATGTTTAAAGTGTTTGTGTAATCTTTACTCTGTTCATCAGGACATCATTGATACTGGGAAGACAATGAAGACTCTACTTGAACTTCTCAAGCAGTATAATCCAAAAATGGTCAAAGTGGCCAGGTACATATGAATATAATGAATAAAAAAGCAATTGAGTCCCCGATTGTTTGTCTTGTAGGTATGGATCTTATTCACAGTGGTGCCATCTTTGATTTTAATAGGAATGAAAGTGAGGCTGTGAGGGATAGTCATACATCTCTTCAGTGGGTTGTACTATTATTTTAATGTGTTTTTGGATTGTTTTTCTGATGAAAAACTTTCTTTCCAAGAAATTTCAGTAGACAAAAACATGAGCTGTGGAAAATTATTAGTGATCCAGGAGCTTTACACAGCTTTTTCCAGCAGATGCCATTGAAAACACGATTATATCTATCCTTCACAGCCTCGCTGTAATACCTGTTATGGTGCTGCTTTGAATAAGATCTATTGAATCAGTCTTTGTTAGCTGTTGGTAAATATTGCTAAGCTCTGTGTGGTAACTCCCTCATCTATTATTGATCACTAGTCCAACAAATGCCAGATACTATTTCCTACTTTTGAGTTTATAAGCTTTACGGTCTAGTTTAATAGTTCACATATTTCCATCATTCGCTTTCTTTGCAGTTTGCTGGTGAAGAGGACACCAAGGAGTGTTGGCTACAGACCAGACTGTGAGTGGATTACTGAAAAAGCTTAGACTTAAAGGTGCAATGTGTAAAAATTCAGTGTAAAAAAAATATACATGATGCATGTGTGTGTATTTATATATAATTATACACAGTCCACCCACATATATTATGGTAACACAAACTTTTATTTTGGATGCAATTAATCACGATTAATCATTTGACAGCCATAATTGTGCGCACCTTTGGGCTCATGCGGACGCGTCAAGTTTAAACAAGGCTTTAGGCTTAAACCAGCTCAGCCACAGTAACAGTTCATATTAGCCAGCTAAACTTTTATTACCCTGTTAGAAACATTATGTAGTTGGATAGTTTCATGTGGTTTTCTCCCTCGCTGTATTATGGGTTTGCTATGTGGGGAGAAATGAGCTGGTTACGTTCGTGAGACAATCAGCTGATTACTATTATTATATTAGATATTAAGACCCTTGATCCTCACCTGACTATGACTTTGTAAACTTTATCCATGATGATGTTTATACTGTCTGAGACGACAATTTTGGCCCAATTTAGCCACTTCGTAGCTTTGAGGGGTGAGCAGTGGCCTGAGCCATTAGTGCACACTCGCAACCGAACCGCTAGATGTCGCTAAAAAAATACACAATGCACCTTTAAGAATCCAGACTTTTTTGGCATGCTAAATGGCTTTGATATAGTTAGGATTCAATTCACTTCTCACAAGTCATGTTTATATATGGATATATGCTGTTTATTTCTTAGGGTTGCACAAACAGCCTCAAAAGACTCGGTCCTGGAGGGCCACTGTCCTGCAGACTGCAGAGTTTAGCTCCAACCCTGATCAAACACGCCTGTGAGTTTATAGTGATCCTGACCTTGATTAGGTTGCTCAGGTCAGAGCCCGTCTAATGGAGAGCCTTGGCTCTATCTATTAGCCCCGTTGTGCATCTCCTTGGTTGCAGTTCCATTAGAATTCCACTGGAGGTGATCGCGGGCGAGTGCAGAATGAATGGGAGTCTATGAGGCTAAACGGCTAAATGTGTCTCTTTCACCTGCTTGTCGTTAAATCAAAATAGATTTTATTGTTGATTCCGCAAGTTCAATATAGGTTATAGGCCAAAAGTCAAATGAACGAGTACTTATGTCCTTTTGATTTTTTTCAGGTTAGGCTGTTGTTGGCCGGAACACGCTAGCATTCTGCTATTGTGTGACGTCATCACATTTTTGAACGGATTTTTAGAACTGATAAGTGAACTTAAAAATGCAATTTTCAGCTGAGTGTATTTTCTTAGCCCTCCCTTTTGAATGCAACTTTCAAATTACTTGACAAAAAATTACATCCTGAGAAAAGTGGATTTCTGGGAGTGAAACCCCATTGACTCCCATTCATTCTGCACTCGACCGCGAGCGCCCCCGCATGGACAGAGACTTGTTACTGCAGCCAATCCAGAACCCGGAAGTAACCAGCCAGTGCCAATTCTCTCTCTGCTCAGGTGTGTTTGATCAGGGTTGGAGCTAAACTCTGCAGGACAGTGGTACTCCAGAAACGAGTTTGAGGAACCCTGCTTTAAAGGGATAATTCACCCAAAAATGTACGTTTTGTAATTTACTCACCCTCAAGTTGATCCAAGCCTGTATGAGTGCCTTTCCTCTGTTGAACACAAAAGAAGATTTTGAAGAATGTGCCCAACCAAACAGGCTCAAGGCCCCATTGACTCCCATAGTATGATTCTTAGTTGGTTATCCATAGTATGATCCCATAGTTGGTTACCAACATTTTTCAAAATATCTTCTTTTGTGTATTTAATGTCTTTGGTGAATTATCCCTTTAAGGCCATTATAGTTCAATGATGTCTGTAACTCAAGTTTGCACACTTTTCTGGATTGAAGTACGAGTTGCCAATTCAACAAAACTTTTCATTAACCTCCAGTTTCTTTTCCCCTCTTTATCCTCTAGTTGTAGGATTTGAAGTCCCTGACAAATTTGTGGTTGGATATGCGCTTGACTACAATGAGTACTTTAGGGATTTAAATGTAAGTACCAAAAAAAAAAAAAATGACCGTAAAATCTAAAACAGATTATTGTAGTATGTTTTATTAGAAAATACTATTTTAGTCTTTCTACATTAAAATTGCATGCCTAATTCCATGTTACTTGCCTTTTTTGTTTGTTTTGTTTTTATTTTTTAGTTCAGCAATTTCTAATAGAAAATTGTTTCTTCACCATTTTTAGCCGGTTTACCATCATTTAGAATATCTTTATAATTTAAATTGCAAATAGTTGCCCATTTACAACACACATCTGTTTGATTTGTGCTGCAAAGTGCAATCCTGCTAACAACTTCTCTCATTTTGACTTGCAGCACATCTGTGTCATCAGTGAAACGGGAAAGGAGAAGTACAAAGCATGAGAAGCCCTGAACTTCCCCCTCTAGCTGTGTATCATTTGGTTATTTTTTTTAAATATGGTTTTCATTTTATATCCATTTTGTATTTGTTCAGTAGCGCAGCTCACCGCAGGTTAGCAGGTCCTGCACTCAGGGTCTCTGGTGAGGTGTGTGCTGTCAATGCACCTTACATTTACTTTGGCTTATATCTCCACAGGCAGCCCCACACATTATCAACCACAAACACTTGCAGTTCAGTCTCAGAGAATAGAGGTCCTTTAGACTGCTGCTTTTAGTTACAATGGGGGTTTTAAACAACCATTTGTATAAGGATTCCCTTTAATTTATTACAATGACTTATACAAGTTATTATAGGTAGGTTTTTATGTTTAAAGACGAGATAGATTAAACAGAATATTGATTTACTATTCAATCATGAGCATACATTTGATTTGATCAGATGGCAAAAGGAGAACATTCATGTTTCCCAAAGACTATTTGCAGTGTAAAACTGTAATAATAATAATAATAATAATAAAAAATCAGTGAGCATTGAGAATGAATGATTTTACATGTGAATGTACTTTAGAATCAGGGTAACCTGATTTTTCAATCATATTTTAAATTTATTGACATTTTAAAGCCAAATATCATCTCGTTGTTTTTATTTGTAATTGTTTAATTTTGCCTGTCAAGATATTTATTTGTCTACTTACTGTAGTCTTGCTTCCTAATTATAAAGATGGGATTAATATGAAATGTGGAAAAAAAAAATCTCATGGTGCCTTAGATGGTAAATTGGTACAACCAGTTATGCTCCCATTTATCAGTATAAAAATTCGATGTAAAGCTAAAGTGACCTCACCATTGTTCAACCACCTGTCAATCTTAAACTTTCTGATTAAATTATTCAGAGTTTTGAGTGTCCTCCTAACTTTCCTTCTCTCACCAACATTGTTGAACACATGTCAAATTATAATGTAGTACACTGTTATTTTAGGAATAACTAGTAGCATAAAATTGTTCGTCATTTATTGAATGTCATAAAATAATACTAATATGGTGTTCCACCGTGTTATAGTATTCTGGTCAACTCCATTTACTCCTTTACCAGATGCTTTTATCCAAAGCAACTTTACACAGAGGAACATAAGCAATTCGCCACAGAGCCAACAGTATTCATATTATACAGTGTAAGGTTTATTAGAAAACTAAATAGGCTACATAAATCTCGATCTTAAAATATTTTCTGAAATAAGTAAATAACCAGGTACACAGAAGGAAATGTATTTATTTTATTTAACAGCATTCATCTACAGTACAGACATGTATTTTTACAGCACACAAGTGGGTATGTTGAGCTCTCGGGGAAGGATCTGCTGTGGCTCTTTGGAGTCTGTAAGTGCTGACAGGTCTTACTAAAGCAGAACAGTAATACTGGATAACACCACATTCACCTCCAGTATTTATGTGCTGCTATAGTACATTCTGCTGGTCTCTTGCGCTGGGTGGAGGGTGGAACACAGAGAAACAGTCCTCTAGCAGCTCTTGATGATCACCAAACCCAAAAAAAAAAAAAAAAAGAAAAAGTGACGAACTGCCAGTGTTGTTGACAGTCAGAGCATTTGACATGTTTGTTCTCTTCCTCTCTGTGGCTTCAACTTGCTAATTAACCAGTGATGGCCATGTTATTTCTAAAAGCAACTTCCAATTCTTGCATTTCATGAAACACTACTATTAAGATATATTTTTAGAATTAAATGTTCAGCTATCAGTTATCATAATACACATGGCTTTCATATAGTTATGGAATACAACTGGAATTATCGATGGTTCCAAATGTCATTGAGAGTGAGCGCCCCCTGGTGGGCCTGAGAGGAACAACTGACAGGGTGGTGAAATAGGCCTCGGGTCTATTTATATATTTTTTTTAATCTATGGTTTATATCCAATGTTCTTTAAAAAATATATATCATAATAGTATTTGTGCATTAGGTAATTACAAAAACAGATCTATACACCACGAGAAATTTGAAAATGCAACCTATAAATGCATACCAGATAATAAAGTACTTTAGAGTTTCTATCAGTTGCCAATTAATAAGGATGCATCTGTACTTAAATGATACGAAATTATAATTTTAAGAGCTGCTGTTTGTGTACATAGTTGTTGATTAGCAACTAATAAAGTACAAAAATAAGAGCCCTCGCCAGGCAGACATGACCAGACATATCCTCAATACTGCATGTCACGGTCTGGTGTGCAGAAGGCTTACTTGTTCTTAAAATAAAATATACATGTACATTAAAAAATTATTCACTTGCAAAAATGATGAGAGACTTTATAGAAAACTCTGAAGTAAATTGTTGCCAACATAAAAAAAATACTGAAAAAAAAAGCTGAATATGCTTAAAGTTAAATTGAATCAGCAGCATATTTAGGGCAAGTCAAAATAATAATATAACATGTACATTTTATTATCATTTTTTTATTGAATATTGGACATGACATGCTGGGGTTGTAAGAAAAGCTCCAGACACGCACATTTAGCTGGATGCCACATACAGGGTGTAGTTCACTACTGCCTACTCAGCATTTTTACAATTGTAGAACACAACAGAAATAGCCTCATGTTAAAGTGAGAAGTAAACAATTAAAAGTACAAAAATATATTTCGTTTAGTTGCCAGCCACCTTCGAAATCTGTGGGGTGTTTCCTCATCTTCCGATTATACAGGTTCCCTAAATAGGCAACTTCGTACTAATAATAAAAGAGGATGTTAGTTATAAAGCTATATTGAGAAATTCGAGTTAAACGCAAACGACCGATTAAAACGCGAACTTTTCATTGACACGCGTCAAAATGAAACAACTTTCAGATTATGATCGTGTACAAGACAAAGTGACATTAAAGTGGCATATTTTCTCCGCGCGCGCTAAACTACAGCACCGTTTTCAAACAAAGGCTCAAAAGTAGAGAAGGCGACTCAACGCCAACAGGCGGGTTAAACAGCCCCGTCTCTTTAGGAAGGTCAGACGCCTCAGAAATTAATGAACAGCACACAATTTGACAGCGTGAGAACGAGGAGGGAAAAATCCAGAAAAATAATTCCCCCAAAAATCCAAACTTACCTCGGGTCCAATCGAAAATGGCGCCGAAATGTTAAAAAAACGCACCAAATTTCATTGTACGGTCTCCTGCAAAGCTTTGTGGGAGCGTGAGCTGTACAACATCCCCCGTAGAGTAACGGAGGAGGAGTGCAACTGCAGTGTCGTGGCACGTTTACTACTTAGGCAGCACACTATATCCCCTCAGGATGTTGTCATGCCTTTTAGAGCAGCCAACTTGTTCACTCAACAAAGTTTTGGGTTTTAATGGAGTATATTCTAATAAAACCCATTTACCCATATCATTTTGTAATTCAACCTCGAAATTGTTTTCATAAAAGTTTGGTACAGGGTTAATCAACCATAATTGTCTCCTTCCTGCGTATTGGTTCTGTAAGCTCTTATTTATTCTTAACCTTAAAACTAAAAACTTTCTTCCTAATAGTTTTATTATTTTAGAGGTGATTTTTTTCTCTACAAAAGTACCATCATCTGACCTGCGTAATGACCTTGCTGTCGCTGAAAATCTTGTGTCTCTCATTAAAAGAAGAGAAAAGAAACATTGTCTGCTGCCAAACAGAGGCCTTAGTGAGCTGTAAAGAGACATGTGACTCTGGTGTTGCTCATTCCTGGTGTGTTCTGTGTAAAGATTTTTATGCAAAATTGGGTTTTGGGTGGAGACTGTGTCGTCACATTGATGTGTAATGTGTAGGACATGTTTTAACAGAAGTCAAAGTATAAGCCATGTAGAAAAGAATAAAGCAAAACCTCAGTAAACCTTGGTTAAATTCAATTTATTGACATTATTTGTTTAGGATTTTTTTCTTGACAACTGCATGTTATTTCATCTATGCTTTATTTCTGGGTAGCATAAATTAAATTAGGGCATTCAAGTAGCTTTTATAAACGTGCCTTAGAAAAAAAACCCATGGTGTTCACCTTGAGACAAAACACTGACACTATAAGATATATCAGTGCAAGTTGCTTTCAGTTAAAACAGCTCAAACATGCATTTTAGTCTGGGACTACCCTTACCTTTAGTCTGTGAAACCGGGGGTATATCGAATAGATGAATAACCAACTAATAATTTTTATTTTAATCACTTTTTTAATTTAGATCTATTCTTTTTTTTACATTATACTACACTTTTACATACTCATACAATTAGGGGAAAGTTTATACTATTGTTTTTTCCCCTGTATTTTGATGACATTCAAGAAAGTATGTAACTCTTGTTCTCAGAAGCATCACATCTCTGATAAATCAAACATAAACCTCCAAAAAGGAGATAAAATGTTGGTAGTAATGGATTTTGGTAGTAGGGGTACATAATACACCAAGGCAAACAGTGATGCACTGGTGTAAATAATGAGGCAAATATGGTCAGGGGTCAAGTCACTGCAATTTATTATTTCAAAAAGCCAAAGACAATTTTAAAGCATTCTAGCTTTAGCCTATAGTAGCCTAAACTGAATCTGGCAGACAAGATGAAAGTAGACAAATTTTATACACTGCAGTTAAGTATATACTGCAGTCAGTATATATATATATATATAATGTGTAATATATTGTATATTTGAAATGTACAATTTTATAGCCATTATCTGCCAATGGCTATAGAATTGTACATTATTTTTTATTGTATTACACATTCTTAATGTTAAAAAGTATCTCTCTTAAAAAAAGCGTAAAACGGCGTGAGCAGGGAAACTTTTCCAGGAAGTGCGATTTCATTGGCTGTTTCCCTGAACGGTTGCCATTCAAAAAGGCACGCCGGTAACCATCAAGTTTCTGATTGGTTCACGATGCCGTCGGTCAGTCCGGTAGAAACAGAAGGGGCGGGACTTTTATCTGAGTGTGTGGGTAGACTCATTGCGGCGTCCAGAAAATAGATAAACAGCATGCTAACCTTAGACGCAACTAAGTTACAAACTTATCCAACTAGATACTTACACACCAAATTGTCAAACAGAAGATGACAGAGAGGAGCCGCGCGCTTGTCTAGTGATTTACATGCGTTTGTCCTGCAACCCATCACGGACAGCAAGCTAGTTAGCAACATGATGATGGCCAGCTGAACATTGTTATGCCATCAGCTTTTGGTATTATTGCGATCACTGTTCAATGACTTGACCTACATGCTTTGAATGTTGCTTTTTCGTGCATCCTTTCCACATGCACTTCAAAAAATGACTGTGGTGTTTGTCCGCCATCAAGCTAAGCTAACAGCACAGGAGTAGTAACGTTACGCATGGGCCAAACCCCTTTCACATTAGCTCGCAGCTAACCAGCCGCTGGATCTACCAGTTTGGACCAGAACGTGGAGAGTTTCTAGGAAGATCCTCGGTGCACGTCGAACAAGCAGAATGTTGGTTTGCAGAAACCCACGGATCATTTCCTTAGACATTGATCGAGATCTACATTGACCCTATAACAACGAAACAAACCCCAATCTTTCTATATTGGCTGCAAAATGCACATAGTAATCTGAGGCCTTGGTCTGCTTTGTCAGTTTCAACGATGTAGCTTTGCAACCTACGTGCTTTTTTGTGGCATAAGTACAAGGACAATAACGATGAACAATCAAGGAACCATGTCGCAAGAGAAGATGGAGCTGGACCTGGATATCCCATCGACACTTGTTCAGAGTGATGGCCACTTGAGACGATCTAACAGCGAGCCCATGATAAACGGCCTAAGGTGAGGATTGATTGCATTTCTCGTTGTGTTTAGGGCATTTACGGTCTTATGTTGGTATTTTATGTTCATTTGGACCTTATGAACATTTGGGAAGTTTCTCTCAACCTGGTGAACTGCCTACTTGACCACGCTAAAAGATCCAGCTTAAGCTAGTCGCAGGCTGGTTTTGAATCAGTCCAAACTGACCATGCCAGTTTAAAGTTTTCAAATTCCTTTTTGAAACCTGGTAACTAAAAATCACAACTAAGATGGGTTCGCGAACAGCCAAGCACATCATTTTGGGGCATTATGGGTATGTTCCTAGCCTTGATGGCGAGTTCCTCAGTACTGTCCATCAATGTGAAATTTTTCATTTGGCTTCACATATAAACACAATTATACACACACACACACACACACACAAGTGAAAGTTATTCTCACAGAGAGTTGCTTATCATTTTTAAGCATATGTACCCAATTGTTAAGATATGTCAGCACCTGTAATTTCCTGATTTAAGCATTACAAATGCCTAAAATGCTTTTGAGAGATGCCATGCATGACTGTTGTGGGTGCTCTCTCACTGGTAGAGAGTAAAGACATCATCAGGTCTGCCAGCCTCTCTCAAGAGAAGAACGCGTTGATGGTATAAGACTCACACATTAGTATTGCGATTAGTGTTAAAGTTGGAATTTTTAAGTCTTTATAAATCTGCATGTTTTAGATCTTCGCAATTCATCTGTGCATTACATGAAATCATAATTGACCCCTTTTTTAACGGAATATTGCAGATTTATTATTTAATTACTAATGTGCCCTCGTAATCCTAAATCAAAATAACTTCTCCCTCTTCCAGCTTCATCTCTTCTCTTCTCCAATGATGTTTACTGGCACGAGGACAACCTGTCACTCACATGACATCACCACAAATAACAAACCACAACGATCCAATCAATTCCCGATGGACAAAAAGTCCCACCCTACTTTTTTGTATTTTTGTTTGTTTGAGAAGCTTGTTTCACTGATATGTGACTTAATAGGGAATAAAGAATACAATGTCCTTTTCATGCTGACTTTGGTTAAAAGTAAACATTTTCAATGTCATACTTCCAGTGAAACAAGACTTATTTCTGGTGACCTATGGAGGACTCCTCCAATCATTTAGAGCGTCTAAACTGCATTCATCTGCGTCTGTTTTTGAGTGCAGCGCTCGCATCTCAATCCAGTCAACAACTGATGCTTAGAACCAAGTCTCTGCATTTTCTTGATATTACACTGAAGTACGTTACAAAATGAAAGGAAAGCTCTGTCATTACTTCAATTTCATTGTGACTTCAATGTTTAAATATTTTTTTATTACATGAGAAATTAAAAGTTCTTTCTCTCTGTCTGCAGTGATGCTTCACAGGTGTTCCAGAGAGAGGTTCTCCGCAGCAGAAGAAACAGTACTACTGTTGTTCGACCTATTGTGGTACGTAGCACGTTTCAGAATGCTGTGAATTAATGTTTTGTTTAATGGAATTTGCTGATTGGATGTTTTATGCTCTTTAGGTTCCATCTTCGCCAGTACGTGTTCCTAGCACAAGACTACAGCGAATCAAACAGGTACAAAGTTTGCTTCAACATACCATGAAATATAACTTGAACATATTTCATAGTCTATGGTCTCGAATCTCGATAGCATGTCAGACTCGCCACTCTTATGTGTGCATATGGGTGTGTGTGTCTAAAAGGGACTGTTTACACCTGGCCACTTCATGCTCGTTTTTTTTTGTTTGTTTGTTTTGTTTTTTGTGATCGGATGAATATCCGATCATCATGGAAAGACCAGGTGTAAATGCCCTCCGAAAAGCATTCAAGGTGGATTTGAATCACTCAAACCACTTCAGATGGTGGTCTGGGCCGCATTCCAGACGAAACTGGACAAGTGTAAATGCATCTGGTTGTTGAAACCACATATGTAAAATTTACTCCTCCAAAAATGCTGAGCATGTTAGAGGCTATATGTCATGTTAGTCAGATATGACGGCATTACTGTAACACGCATCACCTCACATGAGCGTCAAACCAAGACGCTGTAATCTATCGCATATCAAAGTGGAAGTTGCAGACGCTTAAAACGCAATCATCTTCTCATTAAAGAAATGATCTTACCAGTCCTGTTAATTGATTTCGAAATTAGCTGGTGATCAATAAAATGCTGCAATATCTGTTGTTTTTGGTGACGTGCACTCCATTAAATCTGCAGCGTGGAAGTGAAGATCAAGTTTATATCCGTTTTGCAAAAAAACACATTTGTGACTAGGTGTAAATGGAATAGTTTTGATAAATCAGATATCTATCCGATCTGAGAGAACGCATGAGGTGGCCAGGTGTGAACAGCCCTTAAAAGTACATACTAAAATTAGATTTGAGTTTTTGCAAGTCTTTCAAAATTAGACTGGTTGGTACTAGTACCGCACAGCAACATATAGTTTTATGGATGTGTAGAAAGTCACGTATTGGTGATATTTCCTCATTTGGGGTTCCTTATATGCTTGCTTGTTTGTAGGAAGAGGGTGTTGATGTGATGAACCGTGAAACTGCCCATGAACGGTAAGAGCTCACATCTGCTGTGGTTTCTCATGTTTCAGTTATTGGCTGGTTTTGTCTGTTTCCAGAGTCTTCATAACATTCATTTTACTGTGTAGAATCGAATAAGGGCTTTTATTAAAACATTAATATGACCTCTCTCCATTCCTTCCTCTCTGTATTTATTTTCTTCTAATGTTGATTGATCTAGAGAGGTGCAGGCAGCCATGCAGATGAGCCAGTCTTGGGAGGAGAGTCTTAGTCTGGTAAGAGGGTGTTTTTATTTTGTACTAAAAAAAATGCTCTTCCCTTAAAGTTTGGGGTGGGTAATTTTTGTTACTTTCTTGTTTTTAAAATGTCTGCTTTAAGTTATATTTTTAACTCTTCTATATTAATGTATTTCCTGTGGTGGCAAAATTGAATTTTTTAGCGGCCATTAATCTTAAGGACGTCAAACTATTAAACAGCAGTGTGTACGACAATAATATCGCGAGTACATTTAGGTTAAACATTAATCTACGCAAACGGTTATAACAATTTTGGTGAGAAATTGAGACCGTTATTATGCAAATAATATAATGCATGCAGTAGCAATGTTGCTACACTTCCTCTTTTCCTTATTGATGGGACTGTGGAAGAGAAAATGGAAGCATGCTAGAGAAAAGCTCATGGAGTCAACAGGGCCACCAGTCTCTCGAGATCAGACTGGATTGGTAGTATAAAACTCCAACATTGTTTCAGTAACGAAGTAGTTGATTTGCAGTAATACTGGCTTGTTTTGGAAGTGTATTAAGTGATTTTTTTTATTGTGTTTTGATTCAATAGAGTGATAATGATCTTGAGAAATCTTCTTCGTCATCTCCAAAGAGGATTGATTTTGTGCCCGTGTCTCCTGCTCCGTCACCCACCAGAGGGATTGGAAAGAAGGTATCATTTATTTTATTCTCAAATATTCTAGGGTTTTAATTCAAATCTTTATGCTTTTATTTACCTCTCTCTCTCTCTCTCTCTGAGCAGCAGTGTTTCTCGCCATCTCTTCAAATTCTGGTGAGCAGTAACGGCCTGACGCCCAGCCCTGTTCCCAGCCCAACACGCCGCTTCAGGTGCGTTCTGCTTCAATCAATCCGCTAATATTAGGCATAATATAATAGAATACTTAAAGTTGAGTAGCTGATATCACTCATCAAAACGTCTTCCCAGCAGGAGGAGTCAGAGCCCGATCAACTGCATCAGGCCCAGCATTATGGGCAACCTCAAACGCAAAGGTAAGGGAGCGTTCACAACACATTTGCTTTTGTAATGTCATTAAACTGGTCTGGAACCCTATGAACCTCACTTTCTCTGTATGCTCAGGTGAAATGGAGACAGAAAGCCAACCCAAGAGACTTTTTCAGGGAACCACCAACATGCTGTCCACAGAGGTGTCCCACTTGCCTGAACTTAACACTTGGTGAGTTCCCTCAGTTGGTTTTTATTTTGAGTATCTTAATATAAGGAGTATGTGTATTTGGACGTTAGGTTGTGAATCAGGGTTTTTCCTGCATTGAAAGTATTTAAGCGGATGCCAAAATGAATCCTTTGTCCTGCAAAGGATTTATTTGATCATAATATGACCTGCTGTTCTGGTTACTTTATGGTAATCCATATGATATGGTACAACTACAGTGCAATGCAAATAAAGTAAATATAAGATAAAGTGATGTAATAGTAAATTGTTTAGCCAATAAAATAAACATATTGATCATTAAACTGACATATCAACAAAAAGAGATGTAATTTTATTTTATATAGGCCTATAAACAGAGAAGAGAATATAAAATATATTTTAAAATATTCCTGCATAGGGTTGTCATGTTATTTTATATACCCTGTCTCTTTTTGTGAGACCAAAGATCGCCCGTTAGAAATACAAGACGAATTATATCTCATGTTTATTAGAGACATCAGAACCAGCGGCAAACGTGTCGAGCACTAGCCGAGGAAATACAATTAATAGTAAATGTATTTGTTTTGTGCCACTTGATTGTAAATGTTATGAATGGATTCCAGCTCTGAATAATGGGCGTCTTTAACACGCTTCGTATCCACCAGTCTGTCTCCTGATCTTCTGGACGGGAGTCTCAGTAGCGTTGGCTCCTCCGATTCGCCCGCCAAGATGGAAGGAGTGTCGCCCTCCTCCAGTAACTCTCCCCTCACACCCCTTCAGGATTTTTCCCCTAAGTGATCCGCCGAGCGTCACAGACAGAGAGGGACTGGGACCGCTTTTCTTCCACTCATTCATTCTTTTTCAATGCCTTCCCCACATGGCTTCTGTTCTTTTCCTGATTTGTCCTGTTGCATTTAAAGGAATGTGGCCTAGGAGTGTATTCGGTATGGGACAGACTCTAAGGGCATGGGGAGACTGTGGATGCTTTTTGCATCAGCTGCTATAATTACATGTGAGACGTGGTGTGTAGATCTGCATCAAAGCGAACAGCGTCGCAGAGGAAGATCTCTGATTTTTTTTTTTTTTTTTGGTCTCTCAATTTGGCAATTATCTTTTTGATATGGCTTTGAAAAGAAAACTGCAACTACAGGCGTGTTCTTTGATTTCCAATCTTAGCTTACCAGCAGGTATAGTACGTGTGTGAATTTAATTTATTTTTTGGGCGTTTTTTTTGTATGTAAGTATGTACATAAGATTTGTGGCAAAATGTGCAGAGGCAAAAAGCTTGACCGTCAAACTGACAGCCGCCTCTTCTGGAGTTTTAATAGCGGTGCAACTGCACTTTAAAGGGGCTGAATATCATTTTGGGCTTTGTTCTGAATCTGCGCATTTAATTTTTCAGGAATTGCCTTTTCTTGATTTTCAAAAATAGGTGGAGGAAATGTATTTTTCAAAGAGCTTGGCACTTCGTTCTGTTAAAATGGTTTATGGTTGCTGTACACAACTATGCAGAAGGGATTTAATATTGCATCTGTTAGTAACCACTAAATCCTTGATTTGAACACTAGAGAGACTAAAATGCCTGTTTGTCAACCTAAATATGTGCGTACAACTGTTACTTTCACAGCTTTCAGAGAATGGAGCAAAACATCCGGGCTGGGTTGAGTGATTGTAATCAAGCAAATGGAAGCATTTGGAGGAGAATGCAGGGTTTTTTCCAGTGTTTTTCAGAGGCTGTTAACAGTGACCCCTTTGGCAGTTTAATAGTTAAGCAGAAGTGCGTAAAGATGAAACCCTTCCCATCAAGAGTTATTTGTGGAATTAAAACGTTTTAAATGTAATCTACTGATGCTTAAATGGTGTGCCATTTAAATTTGTATATAAGAGAAATTGTACAACTGTAGAAGTTTGGGGTTTTAGTTACTTTAGGAAATGGTATTTTCTTGTAAATTGTTTTTTCTAAATTTCTTTGGAAGAATGCTTTATTTCCTCAAGCATGAGATAATGTATCATAAATTAATTTTTTTGTCCAAAAAAGTGATTGTAAAATATTTTTCATTCAAGTGGATTAAAAGTTTGTTGTTTTTTTTTCCACATAAGAAAAGATGAAACTGCAGTGTAAGTCCTTTTCTGAATGTCTTTGCAAACAAAAAGTGGGTCATGTAGATCCAGATTCTGTCCTGTAGTAATGGGTGAAATGTATTTGTAGTTTTCTTTGGATTGTTTTTGTCCTGTGGACGTGTTGAATTCTTTATTTAATGATTTTACTCTGTCCTGTTGACTTGTGCAGTATTTTTAAAGCCTGTGCATGTGAACTCAGAGGAGGACCTGAGAGCTGTTGTGAGTGTGCAGTTCTCTACTCTTCCGAAACGATTCTTGTTCCCATCATATCAGAGACTTTCAGATCCCAGAAATAAATTATTTGTCCAGCTATTTTATTGTCTTGTCTTGTGATATCAAACAGTGTTTTCTGTGTGGTTCCCTTGTCGTTCAAAACACAATTGTCATAACGGAGCGAGAGGTTCTTTATTCTTCGGTTCCCTTTATCCTTCATTTTCATCCCTAATGAAATGTTCTGCTTGACCATGACAATGGACCCTTTACTCAGACTGTGCTGATGCATTCCCAAAATGAACTTTGTAAATCAATTAACTATCCCTGATGTTTCTGAAAGTTTCATTTGATCAAATACAGTAAAAACACTAATTGTTTAAATATATTTATTAGTATAAACGTTTTGAAGCACATGCGTTTTCTTCAGAGTCTTATTTTAAATTGTAATTTATTCCTGATCAAAGCTGAATATTCAGCATTATTACTCCAGTCTTCAGTGTCGCATGATCCTTTAGAAATCACTCAAAATTTCAAATATGCTGTTTTGCTGCTCAGACTATTTTTTTCCCTAACATTTTTTTCAGGATTCTTTGAGTATGGTACAAAATAACATTTATTCGAAATGACAATCTTTTGCAACATTGTGAATGCCTTTATTGTCACTTTTGATGCTTCCTTGCTGAATAAACTAAAATCAATAAACTAAATCCTTAGAACATGGAATCCTTTTTAGACCATTTTCAATCCTGGTCTTCAAACTTTTTTTGTAGTAACTTCCCAAAGTAAAACATTGCATTACTACCTGCCTACTGAGTATCTAATCCTGTTTCCTCTACAATCCCAACATTTCACCAAATTAGTTGGAAGACTAGTCAGTTTTCAGGAAAGTAAATGCTCTATTTCACCCAGCTTATTTCTAAACAAACATTTTCACTGCAATGTTGTATTTTGCTTCTTAAGCTACAAGAACTACGATTCTGAAACTACAGAATAACTGATGTTACTACTAATACTTTTGAATAAAACTTTCAAGTAAATGCCTTTACAAATCAATTTACTTTATTTTTTGTGATATAAGGTTTAAGCAGTGGACAAACACCATAACATTTTTAGTCTTGAAATAAACAACAGAAATCCACAGACACTGAATATGATGTATAACAACACATTTAATTTCATGTATTCAAGTTCCTCTACACCCCTCCCATTTAACATAATAGTTAGCCGGACCTAATGCCAGCTCAGTCAGTGTTGGGCCTGTAAACACAGAACGCTCCCCTCCCCTTGCCCATGGATCTTTGCGTCGAAGTTAGTTCCTGTTTATAGGGAGTTTCCCAGACATACTCCCTCCATCCTCACAACCCTCCTGGCTGTTAATGTCCTTATCTCCCCTCATCATCTTAATAGTTCCTTCCAAGATTGTTTCCAAGAGCACTTCAAGTGCGCAGAATAACCATTGTGAGAAGACCTGTGCAACATGGGAAATTACCATGAAAACGTGCAGAATACAATCAAACTGGGAATATGATGCATCTTTGCAACTTACCTAAAACATAAGCAGCTACAAGTTTCTTGTTAACACTTAAGTGGAGGTAGACAGGCACTGTGGATTCCTGTTCTCCCAGAGTTGGGAGCATGAGGGCTGCCATACACACCAGGCCTAAAAGGACAGTAAGGAGGCTGGGACCCCCAGATGCTGTACGGCTCTCTGTGCCAATAGAAGAAGGAAGAAGCAGAAGGTTATAAAATGAAAGAAAACCACCAAAAATAAAATATAATACATCTCTCTGATGCCACCCAGTGGGAGCTTTACATTAAAACTGACTAGTAAGGCCTGCTGGCCAATCAGTGTTTTGCATTGTGTGCTACTGTTTTCAGACAAAAGTGTGTTTATGAGTTATATTACAGCAGCAATTATTTTACAAGAAAAATATTTTGAAATCAGAAAAAAAAAAAATCCATTTAATGAAAGAAGTTTAACAAATACAAAAATACACTGGGAAATTTCATTTAGCAAAAAAAAAAAAAATAAAGAAATTGTAATTCTGTGTAGAAGAAAATGGAAATGTAAAAGAAAAATAAATGTAAAAAAGTAAAAATCTAAATATAATTTCCAGATAATATAAAAAAATAAATAAACTGAAACTTGTATTTTGTGAGAGAAAATAAAATTCTGAAGGAATATAATTACTAATCATTCTTTTTTTTCCCTTTTCTTTTTTGTGGGACCAGTGAAAACATTGGCGGTAAAAAAAAAATCAAATAAAAAAAAATTCAGAATTTCAAAACATGATATTCAACAATGAAAAAAAAAAAAAAAAATAGGACATGATTTCATTCTAATGCTGGGGCCACACCATAAGATATCCGGGCCGATTTCTCCCCTTCTGACAATCCTAAATGAAGTTTTTATCTCGATGTTTCTACAGATTATTTGATCAGGTGTGTTAAAAGTGACTGAACCTGCTCGGAAGAACGTTCAAGCCACCCTGATCTCCAATTAAATATTCAACATAACAATGTCACAGAGGAAGAGTTGAATTCAAATTCATATTTACGATCAGAAATCCTGATGTCCAAACACTATCATAGCCATTTCTATCTGCCTAGTACTAAACAGTTTATTCTGAAGTCTCGAGGGATTTTGCGAGATTTCCCGTTTTCACAGTCATTGGTTGAAAATGTATACGTGCAGTGTTGGTTACTCTAAAAAAGTAATTAATTACTAGTTACTAATTACCTCTTCAACAGTGTAATTAGATTACTGTACTAATTACTCTCTCTAAAAAGTATTTAATTACTTTTAATTACTAATTACTTTCAAAATCCCATATCATTCTCAACCAGCTGAATAATACAAGGATAGCATGAATCTGTTTTATTTCTTTCAAATAAATACTATAAAATTCCATGAATTATCCTTAAACTGACCAAGGAGAAGGTTCGATTATAAAAACATACTTTTTAACATCAGACAATACATTTTGATGTTAAACCCACTATTTTTTTGTGTCTGATCTCATGACATTTCACACTTTTTTCATACATATTTTACAATAATTCATACGAATTTGTACGAGTGCGGTCCTACGATTTAGACACCTCATAAAATGCATATGAATCACTGTGAGATCGGATTGATCTATACACAGTATTTACCTCAATTACATCAGAAGTAACTGTAATTAAATTACAGATAAATGAAGAGTAATCCCTTACTTTACATTTTCAAGGGAAAAGTAATTAAATTACAGTAACTAATTAGTAATTAGTTACACCCAACACTGTATACGTGAGGTGTACGTAGCACACCACACACACTATAGGAGCAAAACTGTTAAATCTAGAACTATTTGTGGTCTCTCCCATTTTGAAAATCTTATAAGATTTTAAAAGTCTTTTGGTGTGACGCCGGCATTAGTGAATTGCTTGGATTTGAAAAAAATGGTTGCTGGAAAGGTACAATTTTTCAAATAATTGAGAAAGCTTAAAAGACGGGGAAAGTCACATTCCCACATTGCCTTTTTCTTCAGACACATAAGCGCCTATGAATCATTCACCGTAAGAACCAGGGATGTGAATTCATGTCGACTGTAAAAGGCACCTGTCTGGAATGCAGTCTGCTCAAAGAACACTCTGTCGGCAAGCTGCTCCTTCATCCTGCGCTCCTCCTCCTGGGGCCGGACCTGGGGCTGCTCTTGAGCGGCGGAGGGCAGCAGAGTCGCCATTACTTCCTTCCTGCCCAGCGCCTTCCTTTGACTCTGCTCGGACACCTGCAGCCGGAACTTATCAATCACACCGTAATGACAGGCCCGCACGTCCCTATGGCGGATCACGCTGTTTGGTGAAAATCAAGAAATCAATGGTTGAGAAAGGTTCCGTGAAATCAGATGAATCATTTTCTGTTAAAATAGTGTTAGCTTCGGAAACTTACATATCCACACAACATTGCGGTTTAACAGCACCAGTGGCATCCACCACGGCATACTTGTTTGGAGCTGTGCACAGAACTGATGAAACAACAAACAGTGAGGAAGGAACCCCTACAGCACACCAAAGAAGGTTCTCGTGGGTGCTAACGACGCAAATGTACGACTCACCTTTGAATTTAAGAGCAAACTCATAAGGGTTATAGAGGGTGAGCACCTGCTTATGTGAAGCCTGCTCATCTGCGTAGAACACCAGCTCAGTGGGGAACACAAACACTGGAAGGCTTCCCTCCACTAGGTCAGGCTGCCGGCTCTGCTTCTGCATTGGCTCAAGCTGAGCTCACTTCCTCCTCCCTTTATCGTATTCCCACTCCCTCTCCGGGGTGTAACGGTGCAGAGATCCAGTTCTAAATGAAGCCAGTTCAGCTCTTTGGCAGCATGACGTTCACCTCTGAAATGACAGAAATTGGGCCATTTTGATTACAATTCATTGGAATATAAATAACAAAGTGTGTCATGATAATAACACAAAAACACACTGAAAGACACTGACTTGCTAGATTTTTGCGAGTTTCTATAGCATACTGGAAAACAATGATAAGGATTTCATAAGGCTTTTATTTGGCAAAAACATTCAGCAAATGCAGTCAATATTTGCAGCTTTGACCATTCCTCTTCATAACCTCTGCAATTCACTCTGGCATGCTGGATATCAGATTGAAGGTCAAATCCTGACTGATGGCAACCCATTCTTACCTGTTCGAACCAAGAAGAGAACTATAACAGTAACTATATTAGCGTCCACAACAGGGCTGTCCAAACTGTCCTGCAGAGTTTAGCTCCAACTTGCCTGGAAGTTTCTAGTTTGCCTAGTAAGACCTTGATTAGTAAGACCTGGTCCACAACAATGCACGATATTGTTGTTTATTCAAAGTACGTGCTGCAGTTTTGTCGTCTGCTACATTAAATGCTTGAGCTCTTTAAAGCAGGATGGATTCTGATTGGCTCTGTGCTGTTACCGTTATAGTTGTGGTGTGAACTCTGCTATTCTTTTAAATTTAGGATCACATCTTTATCGTTATAGTTGCCTTTCGTAGTGCTCGGAGTTGATCACGATGTGTGGGCTTCTACTTGTCCACTCGCCTTTTGAGTACTGACCACAGGTTCTCTATGGGATTAAGATCCAGGGAGTTGTCTGGCCAAGGATCCACAATTTCAATGTAAAGAATCTCTGAGCCACTTTATTATCACACTTGCCTTGTGACATGGTGCGCGATCATGCTGGAAAATGCACGGATCATCATCAATTTGCTCACGGATTGTTGGCAGAAGTTATTCTTGCTGGATGTTTTGATACCATTCTTTAGTTATGGCAGTGTTTTAGGGCAGAATTGAGAGAGCCACCCTTGGATGGTTTCAAGATCCTTCACTATTGGCAAGACACAGAAACAATTCAAGGCATTTGTTTTCATCTCCAAACAATAGATTTTCCAGATGTCCCAAACAGTCAGACGGGGGCTTCATCAGACAAAATAACTTTGCACCAGTCTTCTGCTGATCAATCCTGAAGCATTTCATCCTGTTTTTGACATTTTTCTTGAAGAGAAGTGCCTTTCCTTCTGCCCTTCTTGACACCAGGCCGTTGTCCAAAAGTCTTGGGCTCACTGTGCACTTACACCCACTTGCTGTAAATATTGAGCAAGTTCTGCTCTGGTGGTGACATGATTCTGTAGCCAATTTCTCAGGAGTCTTTCTCACTCTTTCAGGTGCAATATCCTTTGCAGCAATTTCCTGCCATGTGAGGCCATTTTGATACAAAGCGACGATGGCTGCACGTCTTTCTTTGGAGGTAACCGAGAATTATAGAGTGTTTTTTACCTGACTAGTACTAAGCACTTTCCCTTGAGCTGAGGATATGATTAGTGAAATAATGTTACGGTCAGTATGAAAGAAGCTTTAAATTGGTCAAAAGTGACAGTAAAGACATTTATAATGTTATTTTAAAAAAAAATCATGTTCTTTTGAACTTTCAATTCATCAAAGAATCCTGACAAAAATGCATCACCGTTATTTTCAACAGTGATTATTTGTCACATTTTAAAATATATTAAAATTGAAAACAGTAAATAAAATGGTAATAATATTTCACACAACTGCTGTTTTTACTGTATCTTTGATCAAATAAATGCATGCAGCCATTGTGAGCAAAAGAGCCTTCTTTCAAAAAAAAAAAAAATCTTACTGAACCCAGACTTTTGAGCAGGACTGTAACCAACAACACAGATGTCCTTGAATGGTGGATTGTAACCCAAAAAACAAGGTCTGTTCTGATGGCTAAACAATGAACCATAACTAACTACGTAATTGTGCATACTGCATAGCTAAGATAAAAAAAAAAAACTTTCAAGAGGACAAAACACATCCTATATCAGCCAAAAGCTGCAAATTAAAAAAAAAATAATAATAAAAAGTTATTTTGGCACAGATTCATCTGTCACTCATGCCAAAAAACATAAACAAAACCAAGACTACAGGGTGCAATCGCAAAAAAAAAAGTTCTTTTCTTTTTTTTACAGTGGATTTCAGCTGCTATTTTAATTATGCACTTACTAAACCAATATATTATTAGGCCTTTATATTTCATAGTTATATTTGTAAATGTCAATATTTGATCTTAAGGTCATTTTTGTACAAAAAAAAAAACAACAACAGTAGTGCAGTGCTGGGCAAGTTGACAAAACCTTTGTAATAAAACAAAATAAGGTGAAAGCTACTGCAACAGGAGGTATAAATAAAGATTACCTGAATATGTCTAATGGTAATTAACAACTTTTTCTCACAAACTTATTTGTGGCATGAGAATAATCAAGTGATGCTTCAGAAAAGTGAAGTAAACGCAAACATGAAACAGCAAGTCATGTGTCAATATAATCTGATAATAATGTCAATGTAATAAAATATTTATGGATGATGGCCAAGATATCTATATATATAAAAAAAAACAAGGTCCCGCCTCCACGTGGCTATAGTCATGTGACCATGTTTACTGAATTCGTATGAAACTCAAGGATTTCGCAATACGATACATAGCAAAATAAAATAAATAAATAACGTCAAACTTAACCGACTAACATCATACCAATGAGATCAATGACAGCATGACAGCTGGCAGATACAATGATGACAGATCGATCCATTTAACATGGCTTTTCCAAAGACTATGGACTTTGGTTTAACTAATATCGAAATAAATAAACCCATCAGACACGTAAGAAAAATACTGCCCGACCAAACGCTAAAAACACTTTTTAAATGTCTTCTGTATATTATTAAAATCACCATCAAATGACTGACGTGTTTCTTACAGAATGTCTCCAGGAGATCGGATAACGACGTGACAGACCTTTTGTCCTCTTGAAGGCTATTGAGTTTTGCTGACTATTTATTAGCAGAGATAGTTATATGTAACTGGACATTCATATTTTATTAGACATGTACATTAAGCGTAGATTTCCGCTCAAATGTGATGTCAAGTATTTCTTAACTGCAATACATTTACATGTCTAATGTTAAACTAAATGCAAGAAAGATGTAACTGTAGAGTAACATTATTTGCCTAAAATGATCAAACTCTGCCATTTCGACTTTTCCATAGTAACGTTAACGTTAATTAACTGCAAAGCACTTAAAACTGGGTTCGGTTTGCAAGTTGTAACTTGCTAAAGTAATTTAACATAAAGTATTGTTCACTGGATGTTGACGTATTGCTGGTATCGTTAACCAACAATCATGTTAGCATAACAATATTGCAACATCGAGATGGCAGTGTTCAATAGTGCGTTGTTTAATGTAGCTATTGAAAGATTAAATACACCGAAAACAGTAAAAAAAAATATGTTACCTCACTCCCGTTTACCGATATTTATTTCAAATCCCACCCCGTTTCCTTTTTCTTTGTCAACAATACGCTGCAAGGGCGCGTTGAATGCTGGGATACTGGAGGGCTTCAGGAATTCCGCCAGCGTCTTCTATGACGTCATGTAGAGTTTAACAAAATACTTTCTGTTATTTCTGGAGTTATTCTCAGTAAATGCAGTCGGACGATAAATTACGTTTATCGTTCGTTGTATGCTTATAAAGCTAGCTATACTCTCGTTTACCCGTACGTGAAAAGTCTTAAAGGGAAAGGTCGCTTTAAGACTTTTCGCAACGGGTAAACGGTAACGTAAACCTAGAAACGTCATTTATCTTCCGAATGCATTTACTGAGAACAAACTCCAGAAATAACAGAAAGTATTTTGTTTAACTCTAATTTAAGTCAAAGAATACGTTGGCGGAATCCCTTAACCCCTCCAGTATCCCAGCATTCAAAGCGCCCTTGCAGCGTATTTTTGACAAAGAAAAAGGAAACGGTGATATTTTAAATAAATATCGGTAACGGGAGTGAGTTAGCATTCACCATAACAATTGTATCATTAGCTTACACACTCGTTCTCCTGTCTCCAGCAGAACAAAAGAGATGTTGAGCAATATGACCCAGTCACCTTTCTGTTTCATTGCATCGTTTTCAATCATTTCAATGTCATTCTTCTCATTTTGTGTGACGTATTTTGTTATTTTTTGGGTGAAGGCAAAGCTCAAATGAAGCTTTTCGTTAACACACACACACACAAAATCATGTTAGCAATGACATTTGAAAACCACCATAAAACAATTTCAGTTTGGGCGATTTCTTAATAGCCCCAGTGAATTGATCTTGGCATTTGACAACACAACATCATGTAGTCTCTCTTTATTAAAGTAAAAAAAAAAAAAAAAAAATCTAAAGAAACCATAGAAAGAAACCCACACGCCCTTTAAAATGAATGTTCATTCAGACGACAATTACCACCGCCTTCTTGGGGCACAATACAAGTACAACCAGACTCAATAAATAAAAATATAGGACACGACCCATAATCAAAACATTTGTCATCGCTTGCACACTTTCCGACTACAGAGAACTGAAAACAGGAAAAAGAATAGGACGACCTTATAAGCCCCTGGGTGGGGACATAGCAAAGGCAGTTCATGAATGAACATGACTGACAGTTTCACATTAAAATATGCCCTTGTTGTGAACCAGGACACGAATATAACAAACAGTAACCGTGCACAATACAGCGGAATGTGCTCTAATAGATGATAGAGGTAGATCATCTCTCCAATGGCACGTTACCCACCCTGAGCAAGATACTGAATTAGTTATGTAAAAATGCGGCTGAACGATCATGACACTTATTACAGATTATTCCCTGCAGAGAATATAGTGCAGAGTAAATATCTTTGTGAACACCGTAAATGTCTGCAAATGTATGAGGTACCGCCGCACGTTCAGTGTCTGTGACTAGTGAACGGGATTGCCTAGCCTTCTTGCCTTTCTCACATTCACAAAATCAAATGACGTGTAGCGACCATGGTAGCGACGCTCCACGGAAACCGAGGAGCACGATTTAGGAGGAGCCAGTGCCTGACAACGCTGCTTTCCCTCCCGCTTCTGGACCGCCGCTCGTTGTCACGGTCTAGGGCGGTTTGGTCTTTGGTGTATTAATGGCGCTTACCCATGGTCAGGTCTATCAAACGAGATAAACAAGAGGAGGGGAAAGCGGGCGAAGATGGATTTTTCGATGGTCAGGGGGAGGCACAATTATTCTAAAAATCACACGGAACCCAAGCTACTCCCCACCCCCACCAAGACAGCTAGACGAGATCAGAAAGGAGGGGGTTGCCCTTTCCATGAGCCAGACACTATAGGTTTTATGTGAACTTGTTAAATCTGTCGAACACACAATATAATAGCATTAATGGCCCCTTTAAAAGGCAAAAATAGATTACACATTACACAAATTACACACATCCCCGTCTTCCCGATAGGGCTCCGTCTGCTTCAGCGTGCACGGAGAACTGAGGGGATAAGAGGCATTCCACGACCTCATTGCATATTTATACTGGGGTGGGCGTGGCTTCGCGTCTCAGCTCAGCCAATGGCGTGGCAGCGGCGGGGCGAAGGCGTTTCGGTCTGTTCGGAAGAGAAGTTCTCTAACAGCGCGAGCCCAGCACTGCTCAGAAAAGACAGATAGAGAATCAGGCGGCTGCAAAGGGTGGCAGTACGACCCTCTTTTGGGGGGGTCTGATTATAACAAAATATATACACACATATATGCATGCCCAGGGCCGCAAGATAGGTCATATGCCGATTATAGATATTTTAGCAAACATCTAGACGTATATCTATACATTTTAAAATGCCTATTTTACTTTTCCTGATAGACACGTCCGCTTCTATGAATCAGCGCACTTATTTGGGTACGACGTATCTGGACATTGCTAAAGGCGCGGTTGAGATCTTTATGAAGGTAAAGCATAATTTTACCCCGACTTTTTCAGCATACTGTTGTTCCTTGTTAAAGTTAAGGATCCCTATGACAGGATCAGTTTGAATGAATGTTTTATTGTTTCGTTTTCTTTAACAGCTGCGTGCCCGAGACCCGGCTAGTAGAGGCGACAGGTACATGCTAGTTACATTCGATGATCCACCATACGGCGTAAAGGTAAATAAATACTACTAAATTGTGCTTATATGTGGTTAAAGCGGAGATATTTTTTCTGACAGTGAGACTCTACTGTCCCTCTGGTTTGTAGCATCGGGTCGGGCGGCCTCCCGGTGACGAAAACGACTAATTTTTGTTAAAATATCCGCAGACCCGGAGCAGCGCAGCCTCTGAACATGGCGGACATTTTGCTTTTGTGTTGGGAATGCTCTCGAGCGCTGAGATGGAGGCGGAGAGATTTATTATCCACTGTGACGTAGTGCATGACGCGTGCGCGGGCCAACTCGGCCCGGATTGGACAAGCATCCTGCCCTCTAGCTCGTGCCCTCCTCTTGCATTCTGATTGGTCACTGTAGCCTGAACAAATCAACACGATTTGATTTGTGCAATAGCCACCAATAACCAAATGAGGCAGGAGATGCTTTGCAGTTTTACATTGCTCTTGACGAGGGAGATAAGCTTGTATGTTGCCCTTGAAAACAAGCATAAACTTCCTTCCCTCTCCATTCGCAAGTACATTCACCTCCTTCCCATTCATATTTCAATTTCCCAAACACCAAACACCCAGGTGAAAGGTGAAAGTATGCTGTCATTTTACATTTGGTCACTGAAACTTGAACATCAGATAGCCTATTCCTATACAAGTATGATTGCTAATTGCTCACTCTAAGTCATCATTTTCATTTAAGCCATTAGTGATTTAAAGTTAGATCACGTGTATGAGACCATTTTGCACAACAGATGGCAAGCATGATGTAACCTACTATACTAACAACTAGGAAATAAATGCTTCCTGTGGAAATACAAGCAATTGCTACAAGTACAATATGCCTAATACTGACGTAAAACAAACCTAGTGCAGTGATTAGGAGGCATTTTGTATTAGGAGGGATAGTTTCCATATGTTGGGGAAGTTGATTCCCCCATATGAGGGTGTGGACAAGTTACTGTTGTGGTGAACGGTCAGGCATATGCGTTAATTGTACGCAAACAAATCTCTTTATTCAGAATACTAACTAAATGTTATGGTCGTCATGAGCAAGATCGTCATCTTGTAGTCGTACTTGCTTAGTGAATGACTTGATCATTCTAAGACACAAGGGCACGACTAGACTTGCATGTATTACATTCAGGGGCGTTCTGGCACTTCTTCCTAAACTGCGTGTCATGACAGTCTTGTGGTGTGAATTTGTAGTACACAAGGGGCCAGGTTCAAATCTTTATAATAAAAAATTGTCATAATGAGCTAAGCAAAAGCTAACTCAACTCCACTGTCAGTGATCACCCTGCATTTTCATGTGGAAAACAGTAGTACTGATCAGTTTGGGTTTCAAAATTATGATTATTATTAAATTATCATTATTGTTAATGTATATAAAAAATGGTTACACTTTATTTTAAGATACTTGTTACACTGTAATTGTGCATTTGAGTACTGAGTAATATTAAGTAACGTACTTGCAGGATTCATAACCCTATAGTAACTACATATCGTAACTAGCATTAGGGTTTACTTTGATTTAGGGTTAGTTGCAAGTAATTATCCACAATTTATAGTTATTACTACAGTAACTACATGTTACATATGTAACAGAGACCCTGTGTTACCAAAACTTTATAATACAACTATTTATTATGTAATAAAGTTCTCACGGTATAATTACTGCAGTGACCTAGTTATATATTTTTGATTTATGAACCAAAGCGAGAACTTGCATTATATGAACGTCTTTGCTGTCACATTTCCAGAATTTTCAGAGCATTATAAGTCCTGCATTGATTCAGTCTCCCACGGATTCTGTATCCAATAGAAACAAATGATTTTAAACCAGTGCATTTTGTGAATCAGAGGCAGTTTTCTGTAGTCCTTCAGAGAAACACACCACACCTGCAATAAAATTCTGTAGTTCAGAGTGTAGTCATTTCACATAAGTTATTTTCATAACAGCTGACATTTAACATTGTGCACACACCCACATAAATACGCTGCCGAGCGCCATAATAACTATGCCAAACCTATGGGCGGCAGTGTAGGGAGAAGGATAAAGCCATGCAAGCCAATCAGAAACCTCAGAATTGACAAGAGAGAACCTAAAACCCAATTTCTCCCTGTTGACACGACACCTCATGACCAGCGTTTTCAGAAATCTCCACTTTGGCCGAAGTTTTTAGAAATAGTTGTTTTCAGTGATAAAACCTGAGTTTTTGTGAAAATGAGAGGCCAAAGCGCAAGCAAATATCTGCGTTTTCCCTTTGTGTAAACAGGGCCTAAATGTATAGGCTATAATGCACATCTCATTAAATGCTAAAACTCTTCGGTTGCATTTGCAAATTAATATTTTGTCAAAAAAAATAAGTAAATAAAAAACAGCAAGTAAAAACTCATTGGTTCTGCAAAATTCACCAAAATGCGACTTTAGAGTATGTTTACCAGCGTGCTTAAAAACCACACACCTGTCAAATCCAGTTGAATAAAAA